ATCCAACACTGTAATAATAGAAGTTCTGTCAAAAATGGTGAAATGTTGTAAGAGCCAGGGCACAAATTTTGTGTCTAATCAAGGCACTCTCTTGACATTTATGTCCCAGTGAATTGTTTTCTCCTTTGATCAGAGTAGCATTTTTATGTCAAAATTGTAGTCAGTCTAGTTATGGTGAGCAACCAGCACATTTAACATATTGTTATGTAAAATGTCCCTTTTGTATTTACATAATCTTTTATTTAAATTCCTTGAGGTTTCTCCAATGTACTTTTTTGTGACAATTATTACAGGCAATGGAGTAAATTCCTCCTTCAGGTTTTAGCTTATTGTTTGGTTTAGTATTGTCTTTTATTGTTTTGGATGTAGGTAGTAATAAATTTTTATGTTGAATTTAGATAGAATCTTTTAAATTATACATATGATAGAGTTAGTTGGTAGGATAATATATTTTTTGATTCATTGAGTTTGTAAGGAGAAGCCATTTTTTGTTTTAGAATATGTATATGTGTGTGTGAGTGTGTAGAAATTCAGATATAAATAGTATATATATATGTAAAGGCAATATAAATAAAAGACAAGAGGAAAATATTTTCACAGGTGTACAAAAATTTATTTGAACAATAAAAGCAGACATATTAAAAGCCATTAATAACAAAAAAGAAACAAGAAGAAAACTTTTTTTTATGCCAATGTGTTACTTGAGGAACTTTCTCAAGGAAATATGTAAATTTTATTTGGTAGCCTGTATTTATACACATAAGTAATGTGAATAAAAAAAATATTAAGTTTTTTTTATTTTTTTATGAATGTATAGCACTGTTCACAGAGTGTACAGATATTACATTCTGATCCGAACAAAAGTGCCAGAGAAAAACACCTTGATTCTGGGCAGTGTGCAAATACTACACTCATCTGAGTATGGGGGGACGGCCAAGAACACTTTGAAATTAAACAAATTTTTAATCATTTCACACCAAGCAGGGCAATAAAGCTAAGACACAAACAGTTACTGAGTGTGAAAGAACATGAGAAAAATAAAACATTATTAACAAGGGAGAACAATGAAAGAACAGGAATTAAGAAGAAAGAAGATAACATTGCATTTAAAGTTTTAAAGATTAAAGTTAACTGGAATGTAAGAAGCTTGAAGATAATTCCACAAGAGAGAAGTGTGAGAGAAGAAATTATTAATATTAGAACTTATGGTTACATCTAGCCATTTCAACTATAAAATAATGAGACCTAACTGCTAATCTAGTACTGTGCTTAAATTTATGAAGTCTAGTTACCAAAGAGGAAAGATAATCAGAACAATTACCATGAAAATATTTATAGAAAAGACACAGGAAAGCTTCGTTATGGTGGTAGAAAAGTGACTGAAGCCAAGATGCCAGGTCAGGACGAGTAACATTTCAGATTCTTATTTGAATTAGAAAAAAAAGAAGCTGGAATCCAAATTGAAAAATGTCAGAAGTGCCAAGTCATACTTAAATAACTTCATCATTTTTGACAGATATTATGCTGGTAAGAAATAAAAATAAGATAGCTTGAAAAAGTACAGGAAAGCTTTGTTATGGCAGTGGAAAATTGACTGAAGCTAAGATGCCAGGTCAGGACCAATAACATTTCAGATTCTTATTTGGATTAGAAAAAAAAGAGCTGGAATCCTAATTTAAAAATGTCATAAGTGCTGAGTCATATTTAAATAACTTCATCATTTTTGACAGGTATTATGCTGGTATGAAATAAACATAAGATAGCTAAACCTAATAATATTACCAACATAAACATCAACTGGGTGTTTACAATTGACTGTATGTTTATCTAACATCAAACAATGCCGAGATGGCAGCTTCCAGATAAATAGAGAACTCTCAGTAATCACAATGGTTTAGACAACAATTTTCAATTTGTTACTAATTTCAAAAATATTTTTGAGTCGTCGTTTTTAATTTAATTCCTGCTGCATTGAAAATTCAAAGAACTAGAATGTTAGACGTTAGCTTTCAAATTATTTGGCCAGAAAACGAGTAGAGGAAATTAATCTAAATTAAAATGTCAGCTCTTTCGTAATTGCACAGGCGGAAAAGGGGAATGAGGCAGAAGAATGGGATAAGGGTGGGGTGTGAAAGAGTTCAGATATCTATGGGCTGGGCCTATAGTTTTGCAAACACAAAATATTAGCAGTGATTGCAAAGAGTTAATTCAGAACTGACCTATTCAAAAAATATTTGGGATTTTGGTGTTTTTCTTTTTTTATCAAAACTGAAAGAAAGAAAAAAAGAAAGAGAACAATATTGTGAAAAATAAAAACCTGATAGGAGAAAAAGAAAAATGGTGGTTACAAGGGAAAGATTTTGAGGAAGAAGAGTAAGAGTAAATAAAAAAGAGAGAAAAAAAGAAAGTTGATTAGAATATAGAGAAGTCAGAATTAAAAGAAAATGAAAGAGATGAAAAGGAAATAAGAGATTTAAAGACAGAAGGAAAGGAAGGTTGAAATTACAATTAGAAAGCAAAAAGAAATAGAAAAGGTTTCTCCAAAATAAAAGAAATAGCCACAGAAAAGAAAAATGAAAAAGAAAGAAAAAAAAAGACATTAAGAAAGAAAAGTGATAAAATAAAAAAAGAAGAAAAAAGGATAAAATGTAAAGAAGAGGAAAACTAGGAAAGAAAGATTAAAAAGACAAAGAAATGGTAAGAAATATAAAAACATTAAAACGAAGAGATAAAGAAAAATGACAAAAAAGAAGAGATAAAAAAATTAAAAAAAAAAACACTAAAGCAGATAGCAAAGTGAGTATACAAATAATGCTAAAAATTTTAAAGGAAAGGTCAGATAAAAATTATTATTTTTGCTTCAATTTATTTTGAAAGAAAGGAGTATGGTAGGAGAAAGTACAAGAATTTGAAAGAAAGAAAGAAAGGTGTACAGAGGGAAAAAAAGAAAGAAAGAAAGAAGGATGGATGGATGGTAGGAGGAAGAACAAGAAAGTAGGTGATGAATTTGAAAGAAAGGAAGACGTAGAGGGAAAAGAAGGAAAGAAAAATAGTGGAGAGATATTAAGGAAATAAATATACTCGAATAAAGAAAGAAAAATGCTCAAAGAAATAAATAAATATGCTCGAAGAAAGAAAGAGATAGGAAGAAGAACAAGAAAGTAGGTGATGAATTTGAAAAGGAAGACAGACGTACAGAGGGAAAAGAAGGAAAGAAAAAAGAGTGGAGAAATATTAAGAAAGAAAGAAGGAAATAAAATAAATATATTCGAATAAAGAAAGAAAAAGAAAGAAAGAAACATGATCGAATAAATAAATAAATATGCTCAAAGAAAGAAAGAAAGAATATAGGGAAGGGAAAAAAAATGAAAGGAAACTAATGAAAAGGGATTGGATTCAAATTTTAAAAAAGAAAATTAGAGAAAGAAATGGAAAAAAAATGATTGAAAAGTAAAACAAGAATAAAAATAACGAAAAATAAAGTGTTCATGAATGAAAAAAAAAACTAAGAAAGTAAACCCAAAAAGGTGCATAAAGAAAAAATAACCAGTGAGTATGAAAATAACGAAAAATAAATAAAGTTGAATGGACAGAGAATGAAATAATGGATATTAATGAAAAATAGGTAGGAGGAACAGCATACAACAAGGCTAAAAATAAAAATATATAAAAATTGGTTGGAAAAGAATAAAGATGAAATAAAAATGGAAGATAAAAAAGAAATAGAAGATAAAAAAAAAACAAGAAATGATAAAAAAGTAAAAAAAAAAGAAACTAAAAAAAAAACACTGGATACGGAAAGGAAAAAAAAAATGTTTCAAAATGTAAAAATACAAGTGATATGGATGCTTCCACAAATTAAAACAAAATTACCAAAAAGAAAAAAATAATAAGGATATTAATAATAATAGGGTATAATCTTTACCAAAAAATAGTTGCCGTGCTAAAGAGACAATTGAAGAAAATAATAAATAATGAAACAAAAAACAAAAAAACCCCAAAATTATGACAAGACGTGCTTAGCCTCCACTCTTCCAATTCTTTATCCTCCTTTAACATCACGTCTTTTTCCGCTTTGCTAGTTCCCGCACTCCAACGTCACTAATCAGTGAGCCGCCTTCACGAGTCCCCCCGACTCCATCATCATAAAAACCTTCACAATAATTCCCAGTCACACTGCTGTTATCTCCCTCTATTCATTCTCGGCGAACAAGTTTAGTGCAAAGGGCCATTGCTCTTAAGTTAAGAAAGAAGAAATAAGGGGAAAAGCTGAAAAAAAAGGAAAATGCGTATAAAAGGGAGTGAACTCTTGTCGTCTTGGTTGCATACTTTCTTAGCTTCATGGTCATGTGTCAACCACAGAACAAGACCCATTAGTCACAAGAAGACAAGAAAAAAGCGAAAGAAAAACTCTTCATTAGTGAAAATCTCTTTTAGGTTCAATAAGCAATAAGTATTGGATGAATAAATCTACTATGCTTGTCCACAGAGAAAACTGAATGAACGGGTTGGTTATTCTCTCATGCATAGGCTTACCACACATTCCAGTTTGACTGGGGCTGTCTCAGTTTGAAGAGTCTGTCTCAATGTTCTGCAAGAGATAAGCACTCAGTATTTAAGTTTTTTTTTTATGTGTGTGTGTGTGTGTGTGTGTGTGTGTGTGTCAGCCCAGATGCTTAAGAGGTGCTGGATCATGAAAACACCATTATAAAAGATTGATTGACTGCTTAATTTATTTTTTACAGCTTATCAATCTTTTTCAGGTTATTTTAAACCAGAAATTAATTTCAGACTGTAAGAATTTTTTTAAGATGATAGCAATTTTACTGATACAAATTTTACTAATTAACCCATAGCTGGGAGGAGAAGAGGTGGATTTGTACCTTTCCTAAGAGTATTTGTGCTTAAGTGAATATAACAAATCTAACTGGAATTGAAACTCGACTCACCAATTTCCAATACTTAGCCATTATCTATTACACCACCTGCACATCCAAGCTTATAGCACCTGGTATTCACAAGCGGTCACCCATCTAGGTACTGACCAAGCTCAACATGTCTTAAATTGGTTGATCATATGAGAACCTATGTTTCAACCTGATATGGCTGTAAGCCTCTGTGTGTATAATTGCACTTACTAATAAATGATAAAAGTATTAAGCAGACTTATTGCCTTTTACCTCCAGAAGAGGATTTGCACCTCACTCTGACCAGGCTTAATTTTGGAGATTGTATGAAGCCCAGTATTAACCGTATTATACAAGAAAATAAACCTAAACATAAAAAGTGAAAACTGTCATGGTTTGAGGTTTGGAAATAATACAGTATTGTAGTAGGCATGGTGGAGTAATGGATAGCAGCTCAGATTGAGGAATCAGAGAGCCAAGTTCAAATTCCAGTCAAATCCATTGCATTCACTTACATGCTAATGTTCTTGGGAAAGGTGTGAATCCTCTTTTTCTCCCCGCAGCTATGGGTAAGTAGCAGGACAGACTGGGTTCTGTAGCCTTGGATGGCAACTGGTCTATCACAGAAAGAAATGGCAACCTACTGCGGGAAAAAAATCTGCCTCGTCAGACATGTATCAAAAGATACATGATCACCTAAGTGTGTCATGTCACATAACTGACTTATTGTAGTAGGCATCCATTTATCTTACAAGATAATGGTAGCACCCTGTTTAGTCAATATTCACTACTTTTTTGAGCAATGTTTGGAGCAGCTTAGCAGTCTGATAATAGACAAAGCTAGAATGTGGAATGAAAGTATGAAATTACTCCTGCTTGTCTATCTTCTGATCTCCAGCTGTTGGCTTCAGGTTTACTCACCCTTCATGACTCCTTCTGGAACAGCATGGTACAAGACTGCCTTCCAGATGTTGTCATGTGGGTAGCTCAACATACATGATGTTGATAAATTATAAATTGAAAATTAAAGTTAGCTTATTAATGTACAGTGTTAATTTTTTTTTTACTATTCCTCTCATTCCTTGTTCTGCCATCTATTTACACAAACTCATTAGGTAGATTTCTTCCTGTTTCCCACTGTTCTTTTTGCCTTTGAGGTGTCCTGTGAGTGTCAAATTTTCTAAGCTTTCTTTCCTCATTACGAACAAACCTTTCATCAACAGACTAATAGTGGTTAGGGGTATTCCATTAAAGTCAATTGTCCATAGATGGGAGAAAATTATTTTTGAGTTATAAAGCCACTATAGTAACTACCAGTAGTTATGATCATAATGTAAATACTATAAACATGTATATATGGCATAAATAAATATATACTTAATATAGATTTATTAATCAAAATAACAAAAATAACAGCTACTTTCTCATGCACACTCTAATGTACTTTATATACTGTACACTCATCTTTGTTTACAATTGAAAAGCCCACCACCAAGCGGCCATTTTGAGAACTAATATGACTAAGCCTGCAAATTTTGAAATACATCGCATGAATTAATTTTGCCTGCAAATTTTGTCTGTTGCATTCCATTGACAGGGGTGTCCATAGATGATCAATTTGTCTGTATGTGCTCTAGAAATTTTAACTATCTCTTTCTCAAGTGAAATATTAGTGTTCTTTTTGTTTCCATTTTCTCTAAAACTTTGTCTTGCTCACATGTTCAGTTCATGGTATTCTCAGCATCCTTCTGTAGAACCAGATTTCTATTTCTTCAAGTATCGTCTTCATCTGTGAGGAGTCTGTCCAGCATTTGACTGTCCAGAATGCTGTATTGAATGTAGATTATCAGAACATTTTCCATGAAAATAGCAATGGAGTAGTAAGAAATTTGCAATGTTTCTGTGGGAAAGGAGTTGTAGAGTGGAAGATAATTCATCCCCTACAAGGCTGCGTAAAGTGGAGATTGGATAGCTCCACCCCAGATATGGCAGCAGTACTCAATTGTAGAGTACTAAGAAATAGGAAAAATTCACTAGAAACAAGGAAAAGAGTATAAACTGCCATATGATATCTGTCCTCTTGTGTGGCAGTGAGTGCTGGACAATCTCCTCATACATGAAGACAAGACTTGAAGCAACAGAAATGTGGTTCTACAGAAGGATGCTGAGGATACCGTGGACTGAGACAACAAAGTTTTGGAGAAAATGGAAACAAAAAGGAAACCAATATTTAACATAAGGAAGAGACAATTGAGATTTCTGTGGCACATAATGAGGAAGGAGGGCTTGGAAAATCTGATACTCACAGGACAGATAGAGAGCAAGAGGAACAGAAGAAATCAATGTATGAGCTTTACTAAATGGATGGTGGAACAGGGCTTATGATAAATAACAGAAAGACAAAGTTTATTAAGAGTTACAAGGGACAGGAAGTTGTGGAGAGCCATGATCGCCTATGTCTTAAGGGGACATGGCACATAAAGAAGAAGAAAGGTAGGGAATAGCAGGAGGAGTCAGGTACTTACTAATTTCTAAGTCTTCCATAGTAAATTTAAGGCCAGAATCATTTAGCATTGTGTTTTTCATAATAAAACTGTTGTTAATACAATGTGAGTTAATTACAATGTATAATCTAATACTCACAGGACATATTGAAGGTAAGAGGAACAAAGGAAGGCAGCAAATAACCTAGCTAAATGGTTGGCAGAAAGGGGAATTGGAGAGATAGCAAAAAGACAAAACTTACGAAGAGCTATAAACGACAGGAAGTCGTGGAGAGCCATGATCACCAACATTCTGAAAGGACAAGGCGCGTAGAAGAATAAGAACTTGCAATGGCAGACGATGATGTTGATCATGAAGCAACACAATAAATATTGAGTCGATGAAAAGCATTCTTCTATGTGCTATGTACCTTTAGGATGTAGGTCATCATGGCACTCCACAACTTTCTAACCTAGCTATTAGTAAGGTTTTGACCATTTATCTCACTCCCACTTTTGATATCTATTTGCATAAGCATGTTAGGTAGGTTACTCATTGTTTTCCTCTGTCTCTCTTGCCTTCAGTATGTCCTGTGGGTATCAAATTCTCAAAGCCCTCTTTCCTCATTATGCGTCAAAAGTCTATTTCTGATTTTAAGTATATATGACCTTTTTGTTTTCATTTTCCTTAAAACTCTCTTGTTGCTCAGACACTCCATCCATATTTTTCTCAGCATCCTTATGTAGAACCATATTTCAGTTGCTTTAAGTGAGGAAATTGTCTAGTATTCACTTCCCATATATTGCATAGCAGTTCAGCAATTACATTTGTTCCTAATTAAATTTTTCTGTTTCTTAATACTTTGCTTAGCTTTTGCAAGGTATATTTGCTATTCCAATGCACTTTCAGATTTCAGTGTCACATTTTCCATCCTCTGTAAAAAGAGAGGACAAATAAAAATATTAAAGGCTTTATTTTCATAGGTATTCTTTTTAAACTTTTAATCAGTTCACTCCAAGTAAGGAAATAATGCCACTAAGATGCATGGGACTACTTGGGGTGAAAGACAATGAAAAGATTTTACAAGGAACCGGAAAACCAATCCTAAACAAGAAACAAAGGAAAAACCTCTACTCCTGTTCAAAAGACTGGGGAGGAATGTGAACAGGACAATCTACAAGGCCATCAGATCAGAGCGACCAATGAGGTTCAAACTCACTAGAGTAGTAATGAATTGTAAGATTAGCATTGCTCAGTGGCTATGCCACCAGCCTTAAATTATTGTATTCCCTCCCACTACAAAATTGAGTTGTATATGTGTACCCTTTATCTGTGTGTTTATGTGGATGGACATTTATGCACACGCTTACTTGGAATTGTCCACGCTTGAGGTGGCACTCTAATACAGTGAAATGCATTCTGATTTTCTTAAGTCCCTAAATGCACTTAAAGTTGGGCACTGTTATGCTTCTAAAGTGAAGGCACCCACACCTCGCCAAAGTCCTAAAATATTTCCACCTAACTGAGGTAGTTAGTCTGAGTCACCATTAGTCCAGTACCAATCTTTATGATTACCCATTTCTGATCCAATACAGGCAACTGCTTGGAAACAATTTCCATCCCCCAACTCCACTTCAAAACACTGTGCTGATTTGACATTAAGGCAATATTAATTACTGTCTTGGAGAATGGTGGCACTTAAGACTAGGACTGTACACTAATCAACCATAGGACTGTGAGCAAAATATGCCACTTTAATAATCCAATAGCCTGAGCACGGTCAAAAGCAATTTCCAGAAATGTGGTCACATAAAGACATCACTGATTGGTCCGTTATGACAGAGACACAGAATTGAAACAGTTGTGATCAAGTCTTGGATGTGTTTACCGGTGGCTTTCTTTTTTTGTTTTTATTTTTATTTTCTCTCTCTTATCAGTGTTTAAGCTTTGGGGTGACACCTTTATTTTGCCACCCCTCATGCCAGAAAGAAAAACAAAAACAAAACAAAAAACAAAACAAGAGGAAAAGAAAGGAAAAGCAGAAGCTAGAGGCAAGTTATCTACCTTTTTCTTATTTGTTATATGATGCACAGAGTACATTGGGAAGATGAAAAGAGATTGCTATCTTTTATCTGAAATTAGAGACCAAGATATCGTTTAGACTTCAATGAGTGTACATCTTGGCCTGTGACAATGTGTGTTTATCTTGTATTTGGCTGTGTATGTAGTTTTAGATGTTTACAATGGTAGAATTGCTTATATATGTGAGTGTCTTACAAGAGGAGAGATATTTGCATCAGTTTATATGCAAGTGCATAAGGAGAGGTATATCTAAATGTATAAATGTTGATAAATATATAGATACAAATACATATCTACATGCATGCATAAATACATACATATATGTATATGTAGGTACAGTGGTGAACTACTGTTTATATCAATGTATGTGTTTATGTTTGTCTATATCTTGTTCATATTTTATAGGACAGACACACATGTGCACACACACAAGGTGTTTTTAAGCAGTATGAATCCATTGAATTAGGTTTGGTTAAATTTAAGTAATAATGTCCTTCTGCTTAATGTTATACTGTATCTTCCAATTTAAATTAAAACTGCATTAATGAAAAATTGCTGCCTAAATCCATAGACCCCATATATATATATAATTATATAATATATATATATATATATATATATATATATATATATAATAAA